TAACAGATTTGTTTTGTGTCATTTTAACTCCAGTCTGCCTTTGTTTTAACATGGTATGTCTGTATCGGTGTCTTCTTATTAGTGTTGTACAGATTTCCCTCTTCATATAAGTACACTTATATGAAGTGTACTTCATATAGGGCTTGGGCCCATCCTAATCCAGAATGACTTTTATTCTTAATTTGATCACATCTGCAAATTCCCTATTTCCAAATAAGGTTATATTCATAGTGGGTGGGCATGAATATTTTGGGAACACTATTTAACCTTACATTCTGGTGAGTGTCAAGTAGTATGCCATTGTTATTGATTTGTATTTCCCTAATGACTAAATACTGAGAATCTAGTTTTCAGCTGTTGGCCATTTGTATATCTTATTTGGACAATTTTTTGTTAAGTCCTTTGCCCATTTTAAAATTGGGTTACTTGTCTTTCTTATTATGGAATTGTAAGAATTCTTTCTATATTCTGGACACTAGGCCCTTATCAGATAAATGATTTGCAAATGTTTTCTCTAATTCTTTGGGCTGTTCTTCAATTACTTGATAGTGTCCTTTGATGCATACAAGTTTTTCATTTTGGTGGAAGTTCAGTTTACCTATTTTGTTTTGATAACTTGTTATGTCTAAGAAACTGTTACCCATTCAAAGTTATGTAGGTTTTCTAAGAGTTATAGTTTTAGCTCTTTTATTTTTAGATCTTTGATCAATTTTAGCTCATCCATTTGAGCATAACTTTGTGTATTGTTTGAGATAAGTATCTTTTGCTTATGGAGCTCTAACTGTCCAAGCAGTATTTGTGGCAAAGACTGTTCTTTCCTTCATTGCATTGTCTTTAAATCAGTTGACTATCAATATAAGGGTTTATTTTTGTACTCTCAATTTTGTTTTACTGATCTGTATGTCTGTTCTTATGCTGGTATCACACTGTATTGTTACTGTATGTTAGTTTTGAAATGGGAAGTGTGAATGCTCTCACTTTTGTTCTTTTGCAAGATTGTTTTGGCATGGGTTCCTTGGATTTGTACCTGAATTTTAGTATCACCTTGTCATTTTCTGCAAAAGAGCCAGTTAGAATTTTGATGGTGATTTTGTCAAATCTGAGGGTCTATTTGGGGAAATTGCCAATCTAACAGTATTAGTCATGAATGTGGGATATCATTTCATTTAGTTAGACCTTCTGGAATTCCTTTCAATGATGTTTTTTAGTTTTCAGTGTATAAGTTTTGCACATTTTTGTTAATTTATTTCTATGTATATTATTATTTATACTGCCTTTGAAGATGGAATTATTTTCTTAATGCCATTTTTGGATTGTTTATTGCTAGTGTATAAGAAGAAAATCAATTTGATTATATTGATTTTGTATCCTATAATTTTGCTGAACTAGTTTATGAGCTCTAATAAAGTTTTCTTTATTTTTCTTCCTTTTTGGGGATTCCTTAAGATTTTCTATATGTAAGATCATGTCTTCTGCATATAGAGATAGTTTTACTTTTCCCTTTCCACTCACTCTGTTTGCCTCTATTTCTCATTCTTGCCATCTATCCATTCATTCTTGCAATCATCCAAGCATCCATCTGCACATTAGATATTTATTTGGTGCTTCATATATGCCAGTGCTGTTCTAGACATATAGGGTATAGCAGAGAACAAAACAGTTTCTGTTTATATGGGAACTCATATTCTATTATAGTTAATAAAAGTGTATTTTAGTTTTTAGAAGAACTCAAGAAAAATTGAATATCTAGATGGAGATGTTAGTAATTTCTAAAATGTTCACTCACGATTTTTAGATCTAAGTGTTAAAGAAAAAATAATTGAAGACATGCGAATGACACTAGAAGAACAAGAACAAACTCAGGTAGAACAAGATCAAGTGCTTGAAGCTAAATTAGAGGAAGCTGAAAGGCTTGCTACAGGTAAAACAATATTGCTTAAATATCTCAAGACATATTCTTGCATTTTCTTTATTTCCCTAGATTTCTTTCCTTTTAAAGTATTATAGTACTTATAATAATTCATAATGAAAATGATTTGGTGTTTCTTTGGAATGTCCTGTCACCTGCCATTTTCCAATGTGATGAAAATTATTTTATCTAAGTAAAATTGTGTATAGTAAAGAAGGACTAAGGACATGCTTTTGCAATGTTCCCCTGATGTTAAGAATAAACTTTCAATTAAGTTTTACTTTTTTCTAGCTCTTAGTATTATCTTTGTATAAATACTCTGATTTCATCCCTGAGAATACCATCACAGTTTAATTTTCGAGATTACCTGAAGTTTCCTATATAATTAAGACTGACATGTATTTAATTTACATCGTATAACTTTGAACACTATTCAGTGGGTGCTCATGAGCTCCCTGTAGTTCCTCTTCTCTAAGAATTTGGTAAGAACTCTTAAAAGTGAGGCTCTTAGTGTAGTTCTAGTTCTGTCTTGATCTGTGTTCTTTTTTCTTATTTGTATCCCATGCCACATGTATCTCTAAATGGTATCACTTCTGCATGCTTTTAAAAATAATTTTATGTTTTCAAACAGAATTGGAAAAATTGAAAGAAAAATGCAAAGATCTCGAAACCAAAAGTAATCAAAGTTCAAATGAAGAACTTGAGGGTAACACAGATGTGCTTAGTAAAAAGCTCAATATACTTCAAGATGAGTTACAGGTAGGATTTTATTTATCACACACACACACTGAGTGGCCAGATTATTATGACTGGCCAGATTATTATGACCACCCCATCAGTACTTCATTGACACTTCCAAAAATACTGAATATTAAAAATTTCCTAAGCAAATACTCTCAAGGTTTTATTATTATTATTGTTTGCATAACTAATTCACTTCATTGTACTGAATATATGTACACTGAGTGAATATATACTCAGTGAATATATATATACACTGAGTGAATATATACTCAGTGAATATATATACACTGAGTGGCCAGATTATCATGACCACCCATCAGTACAATAATATATATATATTTATGTGTTCATTATATTTCTGATGAGAGGAGAATTCAGTAAATATTTTATGGTTGCTTCATGTATGGATAAAATAATTTTTTCAGTATACATTGAAATGACACGGGGAGGAAATTCCTAAGATACAAACTAATTGCAAATGAAAATATAGTGGTTGGGTCTTCAGTTTTATATTCTACATATTTAATACTTAAGTCACCATATCTTACCTATTTTTCTACTCTTGAATTTCTTACTCATCAAATACTGCTATGGGAAAGGTGACTTTTAGGAAAATTATTTTGATTATTATAAATATGTCATTATTTACATATGTAATTATTGAGTTGGAAAAGAACAGTGTTAAATATCTGGACACTGGGATATATTTGAAACCATACTATATAGAAGACTAGAGGCCTGGTGCACAAAAATTTGTGCACTGGTGGGGGGGTGTCCCTCAGCCTGGCCTGTGCCCTCTCGCAGTCTGGGACCCCTCGGGGAATGACCACCTGCTGGCTTAGGCCTGCTCCCTGGGGGATTTGGGCCTAAGCTGGCAATCAGACATCCCGCTGGCAGCACGGCAGTGCTCAGAGGATGTCCACTTACCAGCGGGGAGTAGACCTAAGCTGCAGTCGGACATCCTTAGCGCTGCTGAGGAGGCAGGGGAGGCTCCCACCACGACCACTATACTGGCAGCTATCAGCCTGGCTTGTAGCTGAGCAGAGCTCCCCAATGTGGGAGCACGCTGAACACCAGAGGGCAGC